GTTTTTGTAAAAATAAATATAATATTTTGTTAACCTGATTTTTTAATTAAATAATTAATAAATTATCTATAAATAAAGAGTTAAAGCTAGAATAAATTAATCAAAAACTTTAAAAGATATTATAATCAGAAGTAGTTATCAACAAATTGAATAAAAAATATATAAAGAATCTAAAATATGAATATATTAGATATATAAAAAAAAAATAAATCAATTTCTTAATAAAGAACTAGAACAGCTCAAAAATATTTTGAAAAAAAAAAAAATTAAAATTGAAATCAAAAATATTATTTATTAAAAATAGCTTATATTAAGTTACAAAAAAAGTTTGAAAAATTAAATTTTATAATATTAATTTGAAAATATTTTTTTCAGATAAGATCTTATTAATATTAAAACTTGGTAAAATAATTTGAAGACCTCTATTATGATTAGCATTAGTATAATGATTTGATTTTAAATCGAAAAAAATTTCTTATATATATGAATATGCATATCTCAAAGTAACAAATATAATTTAATAGATATAGAAGCAATAGATAGTATAATTTATATAATTCCAAGATTTGATAAAAGTAATGAATATTTATTGATTTTAATACAATTATTAATATTTAATATATTTTTAAAATTTTTAAAATAAAAAATATCTGGAGTTTTTTATTATTAAAATTTTTTGTTTTAAAGTTTTTCAAAGAATTTATTGAAAATTTTCCTGATGTAATTGTCCAAACTATCCCTATCGATTTTCTTAAAGATTAATAAACACACTATGCTAACCTGACCACGGGTTTAAAATATACTGTATATATATATTTTTGATAAATTTATTTTTTTTTTTAATAAAGATTTATAAACCATAAGAAAAATAAAAAAAATTTTGTAGTCAAAAAAATTTGCCTATGTTGAAATTACAGTATATTAAATTTAATTTAACATTTTAAAGTTATAAATACTGCATGTATATTTTTCATGATAATCAAACTAGCATTGATTTTTCTTTTAATCAATAAGTCGATAAAATGTCGAGTATTCTGCCAAATCAAACGCTATATGTTAGAAACTTGAACGAGAAGATTAAAAAAGAAGGTTTCTAAATCTTGAACCGGTTTAGCTAATTAAAATTTGCAACACTTCCATAAACTAAAGTTTTTTGTTTTATCTTTCAGAATTGAGGAGATCTTTGTACTCTCTTTTTTCGGCCTATGGACGTATTCTTGATGTTGTTGCTTTGAAGACAATAAAAATGCGGGGCCAAGCCTTCATAGTTTTCAAAGAAATTCAGAGCGCAACAACAGCCATGAGAGGGCTTAATGGGTTTATGTTTTATGACAAACCTATGGTAGGTTTTCGAGTTTATTCACTCTTCGTGTTTATATGTAAGAATATGATAGAAATGAAGATGGTTTTCGTGCGAAGAGGTTTTAACAAGTCTCACAAAATATGGGGCTGATGGTGTAATTCCTTTCTAATTCTTCAAACCTCAGATAAATGGAAGATATTAATTGGATGAAGCTGACTTTATTTTACGTGCATTTCGCGTCAATATATGACACCCTCAAATACAGCAAATAGAATACTCTAAAGGCAAATCAGATGCTATCGCAAAGTTAGATGGAACGTGGAGAAAACCTGGTGTTTCCGCTGCAGCGGCGAATAGTTCACAGAGAACTTTAGGACAAAATGTCTCTACAGCACCTGCGGTAAAAAGACAAAGAGAAGAAGAGGGTAGGGACAATTTTCATCGTTGATGTTAATTAAATCGATATTCATGTGATTTTTTATTTTAGAATTTGTGAATTATAAGAGAGCAGCGGACGGAGGAAAACAAACCGATAGAGAATTGACGCCTGAAATAGGTAATTTAATTGTAATTTACTTAAATGTTCGATTGATTCTCATCCATGCTAATTACTTTTCACTTCTTAATAAGAAATGGAAGATGAAACGGAGCCATCATCAACCTCTGGAGTTAGCGTTGATGCAAAAGGAGAGCAAGAACCACTTAATAGAATACTTTACATACAAAATTTACCGCCAGATGTAACGGATGAGATGTTAAGTTATCTGTTCGAACAGTAAGTACACAATAAATATTCTTATAAATTAATACAACAGATGTTTAAAAATCATAAAAATTCCCTAGGTATCCGGGCTTTAAAGAAGTACGACTTGTTCCTGGTAAATCGGATATCGCTTTCGTGGAATATGAATCGGATAATCAAGCCGCTATTGCGAAGGAAGTTTTAAACGGGTTTAAGATTACACATGAGAAGGAGATGAAAGTGACTTTTGCAAAGAGGTGAAGGCTCGTCAAATTAATTTTCAGCGGATAGATAGCGTAATTGTATATATAAAGTTTGGTTTAATGTGGAACAAAAAGTTTGATCACTTTTTTATATATGATATATTGTAATAAAACTACACATTAGATTTTCTTTCACGCCTGCAATGATGGAGATAACGTATATCAAAGTTAACATTGATCGCAATAATGAAATAGTCTTTGGGAATCAATAAAGCAACAAATAAAACATAGCAATCTTAAAGAATGTATTTTTGATATACACACGTGCGTACTTAATTTGGTGTAGTACGATAATCTTCGATCACACCTGGCATAAATCTATTGGTTTTCAAGTTATTTATCCACTGAAAATTACAAATGCATTCTTCTTCATGGCTACCAAAAAATTGTCAGTTTCGTTTTTAATATTCCTTCTTTCCAGTGTAATATTTTCGACTATCTGCCAGGCTGCTAAGCCCTCCCTAGAGAAAAAAGTTGCCGCACTAGAACAGTTCTCGAAAATCAACAAGGGTGTAATCGAGCTTGATTCAAATTTATATGATGAGTTCGTCGCAAAACCCAGGAATTACTCGTTAATCGTGTTATTTACAGCCTTGGAACCTCATATAAACTGTATGCCTTGCAAGTAAGTCCGATTCCTGCAAAATGGTCGTTAAAAATCTTAACTTAATTCTTAAACATCGATTTCGGTAAACGCGTGTGACAGGGAATTCGATCCTGAGTTCAGATTGGCTGCAGAGGGCTGGATACGGTCTGGAAATGAACTGTCTCGTTTGTATTTTGGCGTCTTAGATTTTAAGAATGGCAAAGAAATTTATCAAAAGGTAATTTCTAAACAGATTATATATGTTGTCTGCTACGCGCTTCTAATTGGAGACACGCTAAGTCTGTGTCAATTGCGATTTGACATAGCTTAATTTGAACAATGCACCGTCAATGTTATACTTTCCGCCGACCACTGGTCCCTATGCCAAAGAGGTTTCGGAACCCGATAAATATGATTTTAATAGGCGGTACTCAAATTTCTTTTCTTTATTAATTAATTCAAATGTTAATTTTTAAGTGTTCTTAAGTAACAAATTCCTATTATTCAGTGGTTTATCTGCGGAATCGTTGGCCTCTTACTTGTCCGGTCATCTAGGGGTCAATGTTCCCATTAATCGTCCTCCAAACTATTTGGTCATAGGTTTGACAATATTTTTAATACTCGGAGCTCTAGCTGCCATCAAACTAGTGTATCCGTTAGTAAATAATTTAATACAGAATAAAAACACTTGGACGGCTATGTCACTGGTAAGAAGTATTCAGGGTTTTTCACTTGAAGGTGTCGTAGGCGTATTCCTTGAAACCGTTTTTTCGTTCAGGTCATAATTCTCATGACGACCTCTGGACACATGTGGAACCATATCCGGGGACCTCCATATGTAATCTCTCAGAATGGTCAAATTAGTTATATCGCGCAAGGTTTTTCCAGTCAATTGGGAATGGAAAGTCAAATTGTGGCGATAATATGTAAGACGACAGGATGATGTGTACGATTTATGCTTACACCGCAACCATACCATAGCATTTACAAATTATTCTACATTCCCAGATGGTGTTTGTGCGTTTTCGATTGTATCCTTAATCTCGACTGTTCCGAAGCTCCAAGATAATGCGAAACAACGTCTCGGAGTATATGTAATTTGTTTTCTAATTTTTTGTTATTTTTTTTTTTTTTGAAAAATTTACTTATGCGCATGTGCACAAAACCTTTTTTTTTTTAATAGCTTTGGATGGGAATTTTAGTTGGAATGTTTAGCTTGTTGTTTGCTCTTTTTAAAATAAAAAATCCCGGGTATCCCTTCAGATTGTTTCTTTAATATTCCGGAAAGTACGTGTAAACTTTTGTTGAATAAAATATTTTTGTTCAATAAAATATTTATTTCTCAGATTTTCTGATTTTTGAAGTATTTGTAGTCCTCGCATAAATTATTCCGTTAATGTTATTTCTTTGTTGGAATGCATTCTACATGACGCAGATCACAAAAACTTGGTTTACTTGTAACTATTTGACATTAGAAATTAGCATAAAAATTAATTTAAAAATTAGTTTGTAATAAAATTTAATTATAAAACAACTGAAAATTATCCTTCATAATTGATCAATGATAATCAATGATTAACCGATAAAATTTGGTCGATCCGAAGAGGACCAAGCATGATGAAGCTATCTAAAAAACAAAAATTACTTCCAGATAAGGAACTACTACCTGAGGAGTCGCCCGAGAAAACCCCAAATTTGCAATCCCGAATTTTTCAATCGTTTCGTGCAATTGGATATGTTGCAAATGAAGTACCTTTTGATATTCAAGCGAGAGGACAAGTCTTCTTCATTACAACAAGTGTGGGCAATAGTTTTCACGTATATGACGTAAGTCCTATTTTCTTGGATAGAATTTAACGAGTTTTTGCGTGTTCTCTAAATTTCCTTCAATTGGTTTTACCTCACAGTGTGCAAAACTTGGTTTGAAATGTGTAGGTACGTTTCGTTCGAGTGTTCTTTCTTTGTCAAGTTTCACTTCACTTGGTGTCGATTAATGTTTTATCTTTATGATTCGATATATAGGAACAAGGACCAAGACACCTATAACAGCATTAGCTTCATCCGGCGATTCTACTTTTGTGGCTTGCAGCGAGGAAGTGATTGAATACAAGGGTGCTATCGTGGTAAGGATATAATGCATTCTATTTCAAAGAGATACTTTTAAAATTATGTCAGTCCAACCATGAAATCTGTTTCGTTAGCATGCGCGATATTCTACAGCTCACGGTGATATCTTTTCGATATTAATTTTTGGTAACTGGTTAGTAATCCTGACAGACGATAACTTCATGATAGTCTGGGATCATGTGATTAAAGGTAATGAACACTTGAATTGGTTTTTTTTATGCCGGAACCAATTTTAATGGAGATTCATTTTACATTTACCCAGAAATACATGCCGAGATTTCATTTGATGAGAATTTCACGATAACCGCGATGATTCATCCAAGCACATATTTAAACAAAATATTGATTGGTAGCAAACAAGGGACCATGCAACTTTGGAATGTTCACTCAAAGTATGCGTAATAAAACATCCAGGGTTTTAGTGTTATTTGGGAATTAATCATATTAAATTTTGTTAGAAAGTCAATATATTCATTCGCTTCATTCGGAACGTCGGTGACCTTCCTTGCGCAATCCCCCGTTGTCGATGTTGTCGCCGTAGGATTACTTGATGGAATGATAATCTTATATAATATTAAACTGGACGAGCGTATTGTTTCGTACAAACAGGAGGGAAGAATAACATCCATCTCTTTCAGAACTGGTATTATATTATATTAATGATGTGGTTTTATGCATCACGCATTTTTAATGATTGTCACTAATGTATTTTATAGACGATCAACATATTATGGCATCTTCTAACATGCATGGAGATGTGGCCCTCTGGGACCTTGACAAGAAAAGATTATCGCATGTCATCAAAGGGGCTCATGACGGTCTGATCCCGTCAATCAAATTTCTTAATGGGCAGCCAATACTTATAACATCAGGCGCAGATAATTCTGTTAAAGTATTATTGCTACTTTTTTTAATTGCCCGATAATTTAGAAAGGCACACTTGAAAATTTACATATTGACTCTCTCCTCTCTCTCTCTCTTTTTTTTTTCCTAACCCAGGAATGGGTTTTTGACTCTGCAAATGGCGTTGAACCCAGATTATTAAAATCGCGTAGTGGTCATCATGCACCACCGTCAAGCATTCAATATTATGATTCCGATGGACATTTTATTCTTAGCGCGGCAGGAGATAGATCATTAAGGGTATTTTCGGTAGTAAGAGACTCGCAGAGTGTGGAATTGTCGCAAGGTTAATTATATAATATTTTGATTTTATGGTTTTTATTATATAGCATGTATGATATCATGTTTAATTAACCTTTAACTTTTAGGATCTCTTATTAAAAGAGCCAAAAAATCCATGGATTTTCAGAAAAATATAGACACCCTAAAATTTCCCCAGATTATTCGATTTTCTGCGTGTAGGTATACCCACGGATTCTGTGCATCGGAAGTTAAACCTTTTCTCCGTATTAATAGTATATCTACTGTTCTTATGCAGCTGAAGCCAAGCAAAAAGAGTGGGATAATATAATTACTTGTCATATTAATGATAGCAGTGCTCGTACATGGTCACTTCAATCGAAGGTCATTGGCAAACATATTTTTCCTACTCTTGATGGTACGCATGTTAAGGTAGCAGAAAAAGCAATTCGCCTCTGTCATCATATTATAATTAGAGTATAGTAAAAATCTAACAAATTATTATGATAGGCATCAAACATTAGCGCTTGTGGGAATTTCGGTTTCATAGGATCTTCATCCGGTGTAATAGAAATGTATAACATGCAATCAGGAATTCATCGAAGAACGTTTGCCGGTGAAGAAAGTAAATGCAAAACTCTTTCCGCTTCCATAAATTTTATCTATAATTACTAAAAATAATTTCACCGTTTGTGCAGAGCATGCTAAAGCTATTTCTGGTTTAGCAAGCGATTCACTTAATCGAATACTGATTAGCAGCTCTCTTGATGGTACAATCAAGGTATGTGGGAAACTGTCGAATGTAATTTCATCACTTCATGTCATGAACATAACACTTTTAATTATCGATAGATATGGGATTTTAACACTGCTAAAAATTTGCACACGATAAAAATAATGTCTCCCGTTACGACAATAAAGTTTCACACCGAGAACGACCTGTTGGCGATTGTGAGTGACGATTTGTGTATTCGAGTCATGGATGTAGAAACGCGTAAGATAATTAGAGAATTTTGGGGTCATCGAAACAGAGTAACCGACCTGGTAATGTCATGATTATTCTTTTGTCATTGAAATGAAATGATTCCTGATCGATTATACTTTCATCAATAGACATTTAGTCCCGATGGCAGATGGATCGTTTCCGCATCTCTCGATGCTACGATTCGAACTTGGGATCTTCCCACCGGTCACCTGGTAGATGTATTTGAAGTTGACAATGTCGTGACCAGTATGACTTTTTCTCCAAAAGGAGATTTTTTGGCAACAGCGCATGTCGATCTTTTTGGAATATACTTATGGTCGGGTGATTGGAAAACAATTCATTCTTGATTGTCAATGGTCTGATTGATTATTTACATACCAATTCAACTAAACAGGGCTAATCGCACACAATTCGCTAACGTAACCTTGAGAAGGATAACGGACGATGAAATCATATCCGTTGAGCTTCCGACTACATCAGGCATCGACGGTGATGTTAAAGGTAATCATCTGATGCCAATTAACACTTTCACGCATCCTCATTTGCATCACTTATTATTACAGATGACTTTTTTATTGTTGATTCCGAGGTGGGAGATAAGGATTCCTTTGAAACACCGGAGCAACTTACAGAACAGATGATAACATTATCATCGCTTCCGAGGTCAAAGTGGCAAAATTTATTGAATCTTGACACTATCAAAGTAATGTATATAAAAACAAAAAAAAAAAAAAAAAAAATTTTTTAGAAAATGTCTAAATTTTTGTGTTTAGAAACGAAACAAGCCCAAAGAGCCTCCAAAAGCTCCGGAGAAAGCGCCATTCTTCTTACCCACCCTTCCTGGTGTCAATCCAAAATTTGTCCCGGCCCTTGAATCGTATGGTACTGATAATTCAAAGAAAATTGTTAAACTGGGCGATGTTAAACTGGAAACCGAGTTTACAAAAATATTAAAGAATAATTATTCAAAAGGAGAATGTATGTATATCAAATATTCACTAAATAATGCTATCTGCCTATTATTGGTAACACATTATTTTCCTATTTTTCAGTTGATGAATTTTTCAATTTTGCGAAAACTTTAAATCCTTCAGCAATCGATTTTGAATTAAGGTCGTTAAGTCTTAACAATGATTTCGAGGATTTGAAATATTTTCTTGATGCTATTAGGTCAAGACTCGAATCCAGAAAAGACTTTGAGTTGGTTCAGGTGTATTTGAATCGTTTTTTGAAAATTTATGGGGATATTATAGTAAATAATCCGGAACATTTTAAAAAACATTTGGAATTGATTCTAAGCAAACACAAACAAGAATGGATTCGAGTAGAAGAATTAATACAATATAATAGCTGTGTCTTGAATTTCTTTAGAAAAGGGTATTAGAATTAAAATTTAAGGGGAATTGCTCATTAAAAATGGATTTCACTTTGACATCTTAACATAGAAAAGTAAAATTTTAATAATCGTCTTTATTGCTATTACTTTTTTTAAATTCATTATGTTAGTGATTGTTGGTTTTTGTGGTTAAAATTTAACAATATATAGCACATCCGAATAGAAAATAGGTAAAAACAAATTATTACAGATTCATAAAAACTTTATACTGTATATTAATAATCGAAAATGTTTTGAATATTAGTCTATCGAATAAAAATAGTGTTATTGTTGAATATACAACTCTTACTATTTACACTTTATAATAAATAGCAATTTAGATATTTTTATAATTTTTTTTTTGATCTACTACTTTATTACATGGTTCTTTTTTCAATATCAAAAATAAATTTTTTTTTTTTTTTTTTTAAACGCCAGCTCAGCCTTTACTTTATTGGATATAATTTTTAAATGTAAATATAGTACATGTTAAAAATATAATTGTAAACCTATAAAGCTAACGATATGACTAGAATGGTCAACTTCGGGCATATTGCTGTCTCTAAAGTGAGAACTAGCAAAAGACCACTAGTGCTGAAAAAAATTTTTAAGAGGGAGAAAAA